ACACACACACACACACACACACACACACACACACACACACACACACACACACACAAGTTAGCCAGGCATGCTGGTGCACGCCTGTAGTTCCAGCTACTTGGAAGGCTGAGGCAGAAGAATCACCTGAGCCCAGCAAGTAGAGGATGTGGTAGCTGTTGATCATGCCACTGCACTCGAGCCTGGGCGAAAAGTGAGACTCCAACTCAAAAAAAAGAAAAAGATTTGTTCAATTGGCCATTGTCTTCCTCCAGCATTCACCCCTACGGTCTAAATTAGGAATATTTTAACATATGAGTACAGTTGCTATAACTAGAAGCTTAATAGACTGAGTTAGAAGTAGCTTTTCAAAATAGGACTTTAAATAACTTGATGTGTCCATCATGTGCAATGTGTTTAAAGTTCTCAGTTATTTTCAGTGCTCAACTATCAGTGCTTCTTCTCCCCACTTTAGTCTGCTATGTCAAAAAATTGCATCAAGCTTTTGTGTGAAGATCCCGTTTTCGCAGAATATATTAAATGTATCCTAATGGATGAAAGAACTTTTTTAAACAACAACATTGTCTACACATTCATGACACATTTCCTTCTAAAGGTATGTAGGTTTGGAAACTCAGCATGTTACTTCATTAGTTAATGCTTGTGTTTTCGGAGATTTTTTAAAAAACCTTTTATTTTCAGGTTCAAAGTCAAGTGTTTTCTGAAGCAAACTGTGCCAATTTGATCAGCACCCTTATTACAAACCTGATAAATCAGTATCAGAGCCTTCAATCCGATTTCACCAACCGAGGTGAAATTTCCAAAGCAAGTGCTTCTTTAAATGGGGTAAGAACTTTGCAAAGCAGTAGACTCATGCCTCAGAACTTCCCTTAAATCAGCTCTGTATTTGGTCTTCGTATTTTACCCTCATCACTTTTACATATATACATGTATACTTTTACTATTCAAACTGTCACGTACGATGGAAAAAGTTTTAAAAAACACTTGTTCACTATGCCTTGTATGTACGTAGCACATGCTTTCTATCACCTTAGAAGCCATGAACTAATATCATTAAATGCTAAGGTAATAAGACCACTCAGAGACATTCCCTTTATCTCTCTACTTGTTAATATTTTGGGGAACATTACTTGTGATGTCCTTGTTACTGCCTACAGTTCCTAAGCAACTGAAACAATCGGATCTTTTGATTTAAAAGGCATTTAAAACTAAATAGTTGCCTGTGTAGATGCCCGTGACCATCGTGCCATAGAATAACGAACACCTTGAAAACATGTTAGTACATTATTTGGCAGCAGCCTCTCAAGTAACAAGATGCTTATAAACCAGAACAGATTACAAAGCTAAGACCTTACTACTTGTGATGTCTGTCAGAATGTAGCTTGAGAAGCTGTGATTTCTATACCAATAAGACCTAAATTTCTCATCAAAGTTTGTTTCTAAAATTCCTAAATAAGTCTGCCTAGTTCCATTATTTATTTATTTTTTTCCCTTTTCCATTTTCAGAAAATGCTATTTAAGTCTTTGGTTCAACTTTTTGTGGGTATACCATAATATTAGTGACTTAGAAAAAATGAAATGAGAGAAAATCAGGGAATTCTTGGGAAAGAATAGATACCTGGGAAAGTAAATATCTACATTTGACTGTAAACAGTTGTGTCAGAATGTTGGCTTCAGAATTTGAAATGTTCCTGTGGGTTTTTGTAGGACCTGAGGGCACTTGCTTTGCTCCTGTCGGTACACACTCCCAAACAATTAAACCCAGCTCTAATTCCAACTCTGCAAGAGCTTTTAAGCAAATGCAGGACTTGTCTGCAACAAAGAAACTCACTCCAAGAGCAAGAAGCCAAAGAAAGAAAAACTAAAGGTTAGCTTTATGGACTAATATTATTACCTTTGAGGGGGATGTAGAGTACACTTGGGGTAACTAACTTTATGATAGCTGTATGTTCTGTTGAACCTCCTAAATATAAATGCTAAAAACAGAATTTTTAACCTCTCACAAGCACACCCTCCCATGTGATCTCAATGACTTTCAGAGAAGTTGGTCTTGATGCTTGATTTTCCAGATGATGAAGGGGCAACTCCTGTCAAAAGAAGGCGTGTCAGCAGTGATGAGGAGCACACTGGAGACAGCTGCATCGGCGACATGAAAACAGAGAGCAGGGAGGCCCTGACACCAACCAGCACTTCGGACAATGAGACAAGAGACTCCTCAATTATTGATCCAGGAACTGAGCAAGATCTTCCTTCCCCTGAAAATGGTTCTGTTAAAGAATACCGAATGGACGTTCCATCTTCGTTTTCAGAAGACATGTCAAGTATCAGGTCACAGCAGGCAGAAGAACAGTCCACCAGTTGTAGGTTTGAGGACTGTAAAGAGTTTAAAGACCTTCACTGTTCCAAGGATTCTGCCCTAGCTGAGGAAGAATCCGAGTTCCCCTCTACTTCTATCTCTGCAGTTCTGTCTGATTTAGCTGACTTGAGAAGCTGTGATGGTCAAGCTTTGCCCTCCCAGGACCCTGATGCTGCTTTATCACTCAGTTGTGGCCATTCCAGAGGACTCTTTAGTCACATGCAGCAACATGACATTTTAGATACCCTGTGTAGGACCATTGAATCTACAATCCATGTGGTCACAAGGATATCTGGCAAAGGAAACCAAGCTGCTTCTTGACATTAGATGTAGCATGTCTACTTTTAAGTCCCCTGCCCCGAACCCCATGCTGTTTGTATAAGTTTTGCTTCTTTGTTTTTGTGCTTCAGTTTGTCCAGTGCTCTCTGCTTGAATGGCAAGATAGATTTATAGGCTTAATTCTTGGTCAGGCAGAACTCCAGATGAAAAAACTTGCATCTTCAGTATACTTTCTAAAGGGCAATCAGATAATGGGTATGTTTTATGTAATTAAGAGTTCACTGTAGTGGCTTTCATTTAATATGGCTGTCTGGGAGGAACAGGGTTCCTTGACCCTGTACGATGTAATTTAAACTTACAGCATTTTTACTGTGTATAATATGGTGTCCTCTGTGCCAGTTTTGTACCTTATAATAGAGGCAGATTGCCTCCGATCGCTGTGGTTCTTATTATCAAAATTAAGTTTACTTGTATACGGAACAACCACAAGAAATTTGATTCTGTAAAGAATCCTCTTTAGCTGTGGCCTGGCAGTATATAAATGGTGCTTTATTTAACAGAATACCTGTGGAGGAAATAAAGCACACTTGATGTAAAAATAATTGTTTTATTTTTATTGACATGACTGATTGCTATTCTGTGCACTTAATTAAACTGATTGTGATGACTTTTCATTTGTTTACATATGTTGCTTCAGTCTTCTCAGGTGAAAGTAATGAGAAAACTGTGAATGGGGGAAGCACTTATCCATTATAGTCTATTTCTTAGAAACATCAGTGGCAGTCCACAAAAGTAACAGCCTCCTAGACTTCTAAATCCTCTCTACCTCAAAGTGTATAACCATGGCTGGGAGAAAAGTGTGTAACCATGGCTGGGAGAAGCAGAACAGAACACAGCCAGCTTGCCCCCAGATCAACATGCTTTTGAATGCAACATGCCACTATTTCATTCCCTAAGAGCTACACACCTTAAAAACCCTAAAGTAAATAAAGGAATAGTATCAGCATGCCATTTATTTGTTTGTCGTCTTGAACTAAAAGTACAGCTGAAAGCAAGCTTGCACTAGGACAAGATTTAGCTGGGGAAAAAACACTATCTGCACTCAGGGACGCGATCTACTTCTAGAGGAACATCTATGGAAGGTGAGGTTACGACCTAATTTCAGCTTGCTACTTTTAACTCAATGCAGAGTCCAGTTAAAGGTCAAACAATGCTTTACACTCTATGTAGGTTCATGGATTTCATCCAGTAGAAAATAAGAGGTTTTCTTTTTTAAGAGGAAGTATATAGGTAAACCTGACATTTTCTCTGCTTACAAAAAGTAATACTTTATAAAATCTAACTAATTCAACCAATTGGGGTGGTCAGTTGCAGTAAACCTTTTATTTCTTCAAAATGCTGCTTCTGCCAACAGAATTTCATGTCCTCTTGCTTACAGATAGGAACTCCTTTACAGTCCAAGTGTAATTCCGTTTGCCCTGGGGCAGGCACAAAATTCAGTGCAACTGTTGCATAGTGTCCTAGAAGAAAAACAGGAAGGTTATTACTGCAATATGAAAAGAAAAACTTAACCCACACAATACTACTTACTTTTCACAGTGGAAGAAAAATCCTGTTTTGGGACCTTTATACACAAAGAGCACTAATAACATACCTTCTGGCCAGCTCCTACATCTCCACTTCATGATCTTTTTATTTGTTAACTGAAAGCATAGGGGAAATCCTGCTGAAAATGTCTTTTAAAACATCCTACAAGACAACATAACATGGTTTCATTAAAACCCATAAGTACTAAAAGACTCCATGAACAATATATAGTCCCATCTTCCACATCATAGGACATTGATCATTGTCTTTACTGCCAAAATGCCTCATAACAGTAGTGACACCACGGAAATACGTCTAGTGGTGGTGGGCACAGAGCAGAGGGCTGAAAGCAAGGGTGAGGCAACCTACCTCCTAGTGATTCAGGGGCTAAAAATAACAAGGACAGAAAAAAATATTAAAGCATCTTGTTTAATTTTGAGATCACTTACCAATTCTACATATTTGCCAGTGATGTTCCCATCAAACATTTGGAATTTCCCTCCCTTTTCAGCTTCTAATACAGCAGGAGATTTAGAAAATTGTTGCACCAACTAACCAAGCAAAACATACAGCAGGCATGTTATTCCAGCACACACTATCACCTTTTGAATCCAAAAGTATAAAATAAAGCAATTACTGTTTTAAAATCCTAAACACGTAAAGTGTTTATAGAAAACAAAAAAACTTACTCTTCCCAGGAGGAGGAAACTAAATGTATCCCCTAAATCTAAGATAGTCCCCAAAATGCCCATCTTTCCCCCTCAAATTATTCAGAAGCTATCCTTAGACATTTCCATCATTACCAACCCATGCCCCTTCAATGAAAAGCATGGCCATGAGAAAAATAAAAAAACCAGCTCCTGTTCTTGTGGCATATTTTACCCCAATGTCAGCATTAAGAAGGAGTTATTTACCTCTTTCACAGTAAAGACGCTGCACAGCTGCTCTACAGTCGTGTCAAACAGCTCCAGCATGTGCAGAGCCACAGTGGGAATCCTCACCCAGTTCCACTGGAGATGAGGCCTCGGCCTCAGGAAGAAAAAAAGGTTCCAGGGAATAATTACCACACCAAGAGAGAAAGCTGCTTGGATTAAAATGTTGGTCTTCATATAACATCAAAATGTCCCAAAATCCACACCAGACCTACAAAAAAGCAGGCTATGAATGAACACCCCAATCCCAGTCAGCTAGGCAAATACGGCCCAGAAGACATAAAGATGAGCAGATGAAAGGCAACCACACTTAAAGCTAGAGGGTGTCAATTACACGCAGACAGACGCGCACACACAAGCACAATGTTCCCCAATTCCAAGAACAGGACCTATCTTCCATTCCAAAAGTCAGGAAAGAAAGTTCTTCGGCCGGGCTCGGTGGCTCAGCCTGTAATCCCTCGCTTTGGGAAGCCGAGGTGAGCGGATTGCCTGAGCCTGCGGGTTCGAGACCCGCCTGGGCAACTTGGTGAGACCTCATCTCTACAATAGATCAAAAAAAAGCCAGGCTCGGTGGCTCAGCCTGTAATCCCGCGCCTTTGGGAGGCTGAGTTGAGTGGACTGCCTGAGCCCGCGGGTTCGAGACCCGCCTGGGCTGGCGAGACCTCATCGCTACAATAAATCAAAAAATCAGCCGGGCGTGGTAGCGCGCACCTGTAATTCCGGCTACTTGGAAGGCTGAGGCGGAAGGATCGCCAGAGCCCAGCAGGTCGAGGCTGCGGTGGCCGGAGTGGCCACTGCACTCCAGTCTGGGTGATGGAGTGAGACTCCAACTCAAAAAGAAAAAAAAGTAAGTTCTTCTATTGTGGTATGTGAACCTCAAAGTCATCTGGTTTTGTGATCTGTTGTCTGCCAAAAAACTCTCACTCCATCACCCAGGATGGAATGCAGTGGCACACTCATGGTCACCCCAGCATCGACCTGCTGGGCACTGGCGATCCTTCTGCCTCAGCCTTCTAAGTAGCTGGAACTACAGGCATGTGCTACACGCCTGGCTAATTTTTTTAATTTATTGCCCGGGCTGGTCTCGAACCCACACGCTCAGGCAATCGACTCACCTCAGCCTCCCAAAGTGCTGGGATTACAGGCTGAGCCACCGAGCCTGGCCCAAAAAACACTTTTTAGAACATACCTGAATTAGATATTTATCCCACAAAAAGGCCTGTTTATAACATTCTCCCCAAGAATTAAAGTCTCATTATTTCTACAACAAAATGGCAGATCTTAGAAGATTCACAGGGAATCCAAGGGTGGATTAATACTCTCCTCACTAAACAGCTCTCCATCAACAAAAAGCTGTTTGGAGCTCTGAGGCCTTAAGCACTTCCTCTACCTGCACTACATGTTGGCCACCAAGGGTCATACCTGCAAGGGATTCTCACTCAGCTTCCTTTTAACAGAAAGTTCCTGGGTTGCCATAGTTTTCGTTGGTAAAATCATTCCTGTTGTAAATTCTACAAAGAAACATGGGAAATGGTTTTGATAAAGACCTTTTTCCTTTTAAGCACAAAGAGTAAGGGAGAAAGCCCAAAACAACATATAATAACAGATATTTACAACAAGAATTCCTTTAGCATTTTGAGTATTTCAAGACCATTTATTTCATGTTTTTACATAGAAAACTACTGATTTAAATTAACATGAGTTCTACAACAACAAATGCCTTTTATTTTTTTCAAATGCCTCATTTTATCAAGCTCTTGATAAAAAAGCAAAAATTCCAAACAGCTAAGTTTTATACGATTAACAGCTTTATGGCTCTTACCTGTTGTCAGAACAGATACTTTCTCATGGCTTCACCACCCCCTCACAGCTTGTCCTCACAGTAGTCAAGCCTTGTGAGCTAGCCAAATGTGCGTTCTCATGGGAAAAATGGCGACCCCAAACTTACTGATGCCAACACCCAGTCACTCAGGTAACAGCGTCCAAGGATGAGGTGCAGAGACACAAGCACTGCTGGCCATTGTGCCTGGTTGGTAACTTCTCTAATTAAGGAGGAAAAACAATAACCTCACTTCCATGCAGTGTAGAGATTATCTGGGTATATCTCAACTACAAGTGTAATGCCTGCAGTCACTTTCATTCATTCATGCATTCAACAAAGATTTTTTAAGCAGTTACTGAATGCCAGGCATTGTACTAGATGCTGGAGACACAGACAAGAGGAGCAAGACAGAACACTGTCCATACCCTCATGGAGCTTACAGTCTAGCAGGGAAGATGGACATTAAGTAATTATACAATCACCCAATTAAATAATTTTCATAGAAAGCTACAATTCTGTAGGCAAAATCGTTCAAGCTATGTACAACACTGATGGTCACTCATTACCATCTTACCCATGACCAGCTCTCAGCTTTCAGACTACGATTTGTTCTGCAGTACAGAGTTGCTTCTGGAGCCTTACACATCAGCCTACCCTGGGAATCCAGACCACAGTGCAGAACATAACTTGGGTAGCTAGAAAAGGGCCCCTCTGGTTCACAAGGGATGCCTTCCTTACCCGTCTTAAGTGCCTTTAGGTAATCTTCAAGGGCCTCCCTTTGGGGGTGCCCACAATTTTCATAAGATCCTTCAGTATATTCCCATTTCCTTTTTTTTTTTTAACTCACATTCGCCTACAAATCAGAAAAATACAAACCTAAGAAAAATCTGGTTTGTTGTATTCTTACAACACTGAGCCATATAGATGAGAGAACTGCAATGGTGGGAAGGGGGAAAAAGGGGATGTAAAAGATGTGACAGGTTTTTCATACAGCTAGAGGGGATGTAAATTTTTAATCCAGGGTCCAGGCCTATTTTTAATCCAGGCTTGTGGTCAAATCTTGAATGAACTTCAGAGGGGAAACCCTTTAACTCGCATACAAAATTGTGTGTATGTATAAGAATTATATTGCTGATGTGGTCCATGGCTTTTATCAGGGCCTGCAAATGCACTGCCCGTATGACTAGTCACATGTGGCTACTGAGAACTTGAAATGTGGCTGGTCTGAATCGAGATGTGCTATGTGAAATAATGCACACAAGACTCCAAAGACTTTTGAAGAAAAAAGAATGTAAACTACTTCATTAATAATTTTTATGTTAACTTCATGCTAAAATATTTTATATACTGGGTTTAATAAAATATATTACCAAAATTAATTTCACCTGTTTCTTTTTTTTTTTTTTTCTTTTAAGAGACAAGGTCTCGTTATATTGTCCAGGCTGGACCCAAACTCCTGAGCTCAGGCAATCCTCCTGCCTCAGCCTCCTGAGTAGCTGGGATTACGGACTTCCACCACTGTGCCTCACTATAACTTTTTAAATATAGTTGCTGGTATATAGCTATATCTAAATTGCATATGTGGCTTGCATTATATTTATGTGGGACAGCACTTATCTAGAAAATCAAGTTCTCCCAGACCCTGGCCTTGGGCTATACTTTTTTGGCCGAGAAAAAACTGGGAAAGGGAGAAGAAGAATGAAGAAAGAGAGAAGCAGGAGGAAGAGAGGAGGGGAAGATGGAGAGGGGAAGCACCAGAGGGCTTTGGGGATGCCTCTGTGGTACTCCCAGAAGAAAGAGGGGTATTGATGTGGAATCATTCAGTGTCCCGAGGGTTCAGCTGAGCTAGACCTGATCCCGAGCCCAAGTCTGAACCTAAAGAGTTCATTCTGCAATGCTCCTGAGGGATTAAATCTAAAAAACCAGCGTATGGGAACACTAACTGGGGGAGGTGGAATAGGGTTCAGAAATGACCTATGGGACAGTGTTCACACTCTGGGGAATGGGCCACCTGAGACCCAATCCCGCTGCTACACAATATGTCCACGTAACAAATACACATGTGCACCCCCGAATCTAAAACTTAAAAAATAAACAGTAAAAAAACCAGTGTAACATGCTGCTGAAAAGTTTCTCTGCGAATAAACCTAAATACAGCAAAGTGAAATCCCAGCCCCAGAGTAAGCAACCACAGGTCTCAAGACCCATCCGAGATGGTGGGCCGTAAGACAGGCTGCTCGGCAGGATTCGCTACATCCACCTCTGAAAGCCTTCACAAATCAAAAAAGATCCTTTGTCAGGTTATCTTGGTTCGGAAGACCATACTGCTGTACAAACAGTCTCACTCCTCAGAAGCAAGCTTTTGGCTTCCAAAGAGACTAACTGTAAGCCATGCGTGGGCATCACACGGGGCTCTGTCTCCCAAGAGAAACAGGAGGGCCTGGCAAGAGCAACACGCACTAAGTAGTTCATGAAAAGCCGTGAGACATAACCGAGAGCGGTCACAGCTGCGGGCAGAGAAGGCTCACTGTGAGCGGGAAACAGCAAAGATGCAGGGCAAGAGGCCCACATTCACGGCGCCATGCCAGCTTCCCAGACGCGCCCCAGCACACGCACTGCCCCAGCACACACACTCACGGGACGACACCCCCGAAGGCTGAGCCAAGCCCTTGCACAAAGAGGCTGCAGAGAGGCAGCACCTGCCCAGGCCCCACGCCAGCAGCGTGCGGAATCCGGGGCGTCGGGGGCTTACTCTCTTCCCTGCACCACTCGGCTTCCTCCCGCCATGCTGCCCCCATAGCTAAGCAGTCCTCCTCAACAAACACGTCCTCCACCACTCGCCACACGGGAGGCACCCAGTCTCGTCAGCGGTTTCCCAAACGCCCAACATTCCAGAACAGAAGCCTAAGAAATAATAAAAAGAAAGAAACTGCCAGATACCTCGGTGTCATCTACTTCATTTTCTTCAGAAAGACTGGGTATTTCAATCAATCATTTGTGCTTCATACCAGATTCTTTAATGGTGCCTAAAATGAGCAAAATGGATTCTTCAATGAAAAAGTAACAAAACTTCCCTAACTGAACAGCCTGCCCTTCCCCACAGGGGTCGCCGCTTGACCCTGCTCTGCACCCCATCAGCACCCACTGGAGGGGAGCAGCCAGGGAAGCCAGGTAGGACCTGGCCAAAAGTTGCACAGTCCGGGGGCAGGCAGTGGCACAGTGAGCTGGCCTGTAACCCAGGCTTCTCCCCTTGTCCCACAGTATTTGTTGCCTAGTCAAAGAAGGGCAGAGGACTATGGTGAAGGAAGACGTCACCAAAGGGATGGGAGGAGAGAAAGGGACAATGAGTTCCTATCACAGAGAGAGGAGAAGGGGCTTGGAGAAGCCCTGTATGGACTCTAAGCAGCCGAATTTCTCTCAGGACTAGAGTGTTGCTGCTACTCGATGGCGGTTGGCAGCTCAAGGGGTCAGAGCCGGTCCTGGCAGTTTGCCTGCCGGCTGCTGCCCAGCAGTGAGTAACTGGGTCTACCCTGCAAAGGAGCTGGTTGTTGCTTTGGACCAAGGGAGAGGGAAGAGACACAAGGCTGGAGGGTTCCTCAGGGCTTTGAGCCCTGTCCTGGGGGAGGGGGCCGAGACCCAGACTCTGCTAAGATCCAGCCAGAAGCAGCCAGCTGGGGTGCAAACTCCCAGGTGAAGGGTCTTGTTCCCAGGCAGGGAGGCACAGAACACTGCCCTGGGTTCAGGGCAGAGGCTCAGGCCAGCTTACTGAACTCACCTCTGACACAAACTCTCCAGAAAGGAGCTGCCTCCTGGGTTGAAGCCCAAAGCTGAACACCACACAACCCTCCAGTGTGGCAGAGAGGGGCTGAAAACAGTTGAAACCATTCCTTTAAAAAATCAACTGACAAGCTCCAGACCTGCTAGACACGGGGCTTGAGAAAACCAAACAGCCAAAGGTTGCTTTCCTGGAAATGCAAAATAGTAATCCATTCACAACCTTACCTCCACATCCTCTCTGTGAGGTTACTTGTTTACAACCCCTGCTTGTCATGTGTACCCTGGAGACAACTTGTTTTTTGAAAATCTGGCTTTGCTAAATACCACCTTATAAACTCCAAAGAAAAATGTATGGCCATACAACCCGACCCCCTCCCTCACCTAAACTAACAGATAAAACCCCTCTCCTCTTTCTCCTGGTTGCTCAGCCTGGAGCACTAGCCCGCTGAGTCACGCTGGCACTAACAAACCACTACTTCCTAAGACAGCATTGGGGTCCCGCAACATCAGAACCAGATCTCTCCTCTCCTACTCTTTTCCCTGCGTCTCCACATCCTTGGTCATTTCAACAAGTACTTATTGAGCACAAACTGTGTCCTCAGCCAGGAGCTAGGTGCCACAGGAGAAATTAACCAAAAGACCCAAAAAGTGGAAACCACAAAAACGCCCATCAGCTGATGAACAGATAAAATGTGGTACATCCAGGCAGTGGAACATTAATCAGCTACAAAAAGGAAAAAAGGTCACACATGGATGAACCTTGAAAATACCACGAAGTACAAGAAGCCAGACACCAACACCACAAGGTATAATTCTGTTTATAGAAGATGTCCAGAGAAGCAAACTCACAGAGTCAGCATACTTGTGCTTGCTGGGGGACTGAGAAAGCAAGAGCTGGGAGTGACTGCTAATGGGCACAGGGTCTCTTTTTGGGGGGGTGATAAAATGTTTTAAAGCTGATTGTGGTGACGGTAGCATGAATCTGTAAATATCATGAAAAACCAATGAGTTGTGCACTTTACTCATTTATTTATTTATTTTTTTGAGTTGGAGTCTCACTCTGTCGCCCAGACTGGAGTGCAGTGGCTGCTCCCCGCCACTGCAACCTCGACCCGCTGGGCTCCGGCGATCCTTCCGCCTCAGCCTTCTGAGTAGCCGGAACTACAGGCGCGCGCTACCAGGAGTTGTGCACTTTAAATAGGTGAGTTGTAGAATTTGTAGTTCCATCTCAACAAAGCTAGTTTTTTACAATGCCTGCCTTGATGAATGAGGGGAGGGGAAGGAGCTGGACAATAAACAAAATTTCAGTGATCTTCTATATTACACCAGGCGAAAGTGCTACAGGGAAAACATAGCCAAGAAAGGGGAGACAGTACAAGGGAGGGAGCTTCAATTTTACAGGATGGAGAGAGGTGGCTTCTCTCAGGACAAAGGCCTGAGGGAGACAGGTGCTACCTGGGGGAAGAGTGCCCCAGGC